GTTCATTGAAGTCAACCAGTTTTGAACTATTGAATGTTAAAAAGATGGATGGGTCCTAAAAACACCTGACCATCACACAGACAAGCGTCGTGCCCTGTTTGCAATGTCGTACTTTTCATTTGGGAGTGTTTTAACTGAACCCAGGGTCTTTCCTTTCCCTAAACATAGCCATTCTGTTTCTGTGCCTAAACTTACCAGTTTTCTTTCATTTTCTCTGCCAGAAAGATGTTGCCATGTCACACTTTTCAGTCCAGAAAATGTCACAGTTGTAATTGTGAGAGTTGTACGTTTTGCACCGCGGGCCAATTAAGCTGTTATACATTTTGCTGTGATACTGGGTTGAAGATTTCCACTGAAAAGGCTGCAAACCAGCCTGTTAAGACAGATTTTAATGAGAGGACATAGCACCTGTCTGTAATGGATTGAACAATGCCCTTATTAACCAGCTTTGATTATGGTTGCATACTAACAGGAGACATTGATTTCCTGTATAAAGCTGACAAAAACTTTATTCACTACCTCAGCAGTGATGAGGCACAGTCTGTGTGGGTGAGCTTGCCTACTGCTCAGTAACTCAAGAGGTGACAGTATATGTGCACATTTGTGTTTCGTGAATGCTTGTTTAGCCACTGTACTGTATGACAGTGTGGGTAATCTCAAACACTAGGTCCTTGTCAACATAATAAAGCAGATATAATAAAAAATAAAATAGTTTCAGTGTATTGGGAGGTCCACTGGATAAGTTAAAAATAGGGTATCTCCTTGGGATCATAGGAGTGTCAATGTTAATCATTTGTATTTCTTATACACTGATGGAAATGTAGAAATGTAGAAATGTATCCCTGATGTTGGCACTAGAGAAAAGGTCAAGGCCGTGGAGACAGAAAATATTTGGGTTTTTCTTCTCAGAAGCATCTAAGATTGCCAGCAAATCTTATGAAAGGAGTCACTTTGATTATCAGTGTCATCAAGTTTCTCTGTACTTTTTTCACTTTCATATACAGTCTGTCTGAAATATTATTATGCGGATTGATCATTTTGGATGTGACTGAAGTTCAGTTTCTTACTTTTTAAATACATTTCACAGTAAGTAAATCTAAAGTTATTAAGTAAATCTGCCTAGTGTAACTATTTCATATGCATTGTCTCATTAATTTTGGTGAATTTTCCACAGATGTCATCTGTAGTATCTATTTAGAATAAAATAAAATAAAAAATGATGGGTTTTGCAACAAAACAATTTAGATGAAACATTATCAGAAGTTTTGCTCACCCTTCTTAATTACACTGAAACTGTTAATGAAGATCAATAATGGATGAAAAGTTTCTATACCACTGTCATTTTTATGCCAGCCAGCCAAATGACAGTAAAGGACTTTATATGCTTTCCAAGTTTGTTCTAAAGCATTCATATTTAATCAGTCACTTGACAGATCATTTCCAGCACTTTATCACCCACTGTCTTTAATCAGTGTCACTTCTCATTCATCCAAAATGCCACAATAGAATTAGACTCAATTCTAATGAAAAAGATACAACTTAATGGGAGTCTGTCAGTGCAGCTAAATTAACAAAAATGAAATGTTTGCCACTTCAGTGAATTACAAATGCATTACTTTAGGTGAAGTAAGAACATGTTTTGTGAGGGGAACACACCACAGGCTGTTCTCACTCATCCCTTGTCTTTCAATGATATTGATTGGGACAAAATCAATGGGAGAGTTTGTGCCCCTGCTGATGGGTTCGATCAGTCAGTTAGATGTAATCCCATTGTTTTTTGGGATTGAAAGCTGTTTATTACTGTCTATTATTGTTGGCATCATTATCTTCAGCTCCGTCGTCCTTCCTCGTCATCCTGTTTGGCCATTTCTCCCTCCGTCCCTTGTTCTCTCTTCGCTCTCTCCTGCTTCTGTAGGTGTGTGTGATTAGACAAGGTGGATTTGTCACAGGGCCAACTCTGACTTCCAATTATCACCTTGTACTTCTTCTCTTATTCCTTTCCCTGATCCCTACATCCTCTATCTCGCCCTCTCTTGCCTTCCTTTTCTCCATCACCCCTTCTTTCTGATGGAGTCAGACTTCTCTATTAGTCAGTGAATTAGGCAGTAAGATAGAAAATCAGCTTTCCTTAGAAGACTTAATTGTCTCCCTCTATCACACAATCATTATGTTCTCTCCCTTCCCGTCTTTCCATCTTCTGTCTCTCTATCTGTCCTCCTCTGTCTCCTTCTGTCTTGGCTTTTTCTTTCCCTTTCTTAATCCCTTCATCACCATTTCCACCTCTTTCCTTCTGGCCCTGTGACTAATGTTATCATAGTTATGCAATGTGGCAACTTCTGAGTTTGATTTTCTAAATGACAGGACATGAGTGTGTGGGTGTGGGGGGGTGCACATTAAAGAAGAAATGTAACCGCAAACAGAGCTCAGATGAACTCAGCATGTGTGTGGTGTGCATGTGTATGGGTGCTCAGCCATCCTGGTGGGGACCAGCCTCTGGTGTAAACTAATTGGGTTTCACAGAATCAGGCCTAAAATGAAGCAAAATATATTCAGATCTAAGAAATGTGTCAAAAAAGGTCCAACATTCAGTTTGCCTGATTACATATCGCAATTAAACAGGCCCATAAAATACGATACAACAGTGAACACATAATCTAGTCCAGACATAGACACAGTGATCAGTGGAGGAGGAGGGTCGCACCACCGGTAGCTAACTTCATTCTGCCCATTTCAGCTCCACTCGTGCTTTACCTCTTTGCCCATTTTTGAATTAGACAGAGCGGGCGGGGGTTGTCCAATTTTCAAATAAAACTTTAAACATCATCCATTAATATCTGTGGCAGCTGCTTTAGACTATATGAACTCAATGATTATGGCCAGCCGAAGTGAAGATACACCCATTGGAGGAACAATGGATGTTGTGTGACATTACGTGAAATGGGCCCCATTACCACCAGACATCATTGCCCTCAGCATTTAGCAGACATTACATCACCTGAGTCAGTGGCGTGCATGTAGAGAAGGGAGGCCTTACACCATTGATTCCATATTAATGCTCAAACTTTTCCAGTTACAAACATAAACTACTTCTAAAACACTGGAGGTCAGACGACATACATCTTCACGCCTGCATGCACAACAGACACCTGAAGAAAACTTTGTCTGTGAAACAACCTCTGATAAATATACACCTACAAACATGTCAACACACACTAACAAAGCAGCTATAAAACTATTTTATTTGACCATCTGGTGAGCCTGACATGTTTATTGGGCTTCATAACCTGGCAACTCTTCACTAGCCAGGACAAGGATATTGTGTGTGTGTGATTGTAAATGTGTGCACTGTACAGTGCTAGTGTATGTGTGTGAGCTGATGTCATGTGCTGTATCTGTAACATGTCATATTCAGGAAGCTAATGTCCTGTAACACGGTGGCTTCTGGAGAGGAGTGCGCAGCAAAAACCCTGCAACCATTTTTTTTAACTAGACTGATTTAGAAAATGCTTTGAAACTCTTTTTTTAATTATCATATTATATATTACTTGTGTTTACATTGTATTCAACATTGAAGTTGCTCCAAATAAGAAAAAAAAAATTAAACCCAATCATGTTACTGTAGATTGATAGGTGTACCTATTATTCTGTCCAGCCCCTTTCAAACTAGTGAAGGAAGGTTAAATAATGGATGCGTCTCTTTGTATAATGCAGTACAGCTCAACAGTACTACAAATTACAGCCTCCATATGATCGTACAGTGAATCAACAGCTCTCTAAAACAAAAACTGATGATCGTAATCGATTAGAAACAGACGCAGCTGAATCTGCGTGTATTTGATTGTATTTGGACTTAAACATTAATGATGTCTGTTTGCATATTTGATGATGGAATAATTTGATAGTTGTATACTTCATCCAGTGACCAGGGACAAAAAAACCTGCACCATAGAGCAACAAACATCAGCACAAACCACCCTGTAAGAGTTCAGCTTTGATCAACACATACTGCAGCAATAGTATTTATCTTTGTGTTTTCTTGTGTGTGTGTGTGAAAGGTGTGCAAGGGGGGTAATCATCACAAAAGAAGCAATCAGTGGAGGTTGTCTCTAATCATCCACAGAACCCCCGTGGACATTGTTGTGAGCTTGTGTATGTGTGTGTGATGTTGTGTGTCTGTTTGCATCCAATCAGGCAGAGAGCCCCCATGAACACTGTCAGTGAAGCATCACTCAGTACACACACACACGTCAATCCCTCATCACCACATATACACACAAATAAACACATTCACTCATGACGTCTGTCACTCAAGGAAAAGTGATGAGAAGTTTGTCTTCCTCAGTTTTTTTTTTTTTGTGTAAAAGCCTCAAAAATCAAAACTGAAAACTTTTTTATGTGTTCCTATAGTGTTATAATGGAGTACAAATCTAATCCAGATCAATGTGTTAAACTCATTTCTTTATCGCAGGTTATGTTTAGTTGTCAGCACATTTCCTGTTGCAAGACGAAGCTCCTCAAGTATCAACCCCCGCTAACTCTGCTCTTGGTTATACCAGATGTGCTTTATGGACAATCTGTTGTTGATACTCTTCCTGCCTTCAAACATAATTGTGTTTTTGACATGTAAAGCTGTGCACACAATGACTAGTGCCGCAGGGAGCTGACAGGTAAAGTGGACGCTAACATCTCCTGTTCTCATTGTTCAGTGCCACTGATGTACGAAAAAAGGTAGACACGAGAGACTGTCTTGTAAAGAACCAGGCCAGTAAGTCATAATGACTGAGTGTATCAATCCTGAACCAAGCAAAGGAGGATGTTAGGTAACATAGTGACAAAGTCTGTGTTAGGATGCAACACAGGATTTCTCCACAGGAGACCAGTGTTCGATTCCAGTGTGAAATCATCCAGTGCTCTATAATCTTGAAACTATAATGGTTCTGTAATCATAACTGTGTGTTTATAATCATTTCCATGACGATGAATGTTTGCTGTGCTTGCAGCTGTATGGAGCGTATGATTGTTACCTTGATGACAAAGATCTGGCAGGAGTCCTGTGGATTATATATTAAGGTAGGGGCAAACAACATATTTTGTCATTTTGGTTGGAGGGCTTGTAGTAGAAATGAAAAAGGTGACTAACATTTATTGGCTCTGCAAGTTCGAAAAGGTCAGTGCACAATATGCTGCAAGTTTTAGAGTATGAACTTTAGAAATGTTTCTGAAACCATGTACTGTTTGCCAAAACAGAAGGAAACCATCCATATGGAATCTATTTGTCATACAAATAGATTCACATACAAATTTGCCAAAAAAGATGTCTAAGATTACTCAAGATAATAATAATAATAATAATAAGAAGAAGAAACAGCTAACTGATCTGCCCATTACATAATACCAGACCACATTGTGTTTGTGGGTCACAATAAAGTGGTATCATGGATTAGAGATGTGTGTTTGGATCTTAGCTGGAATTCCCAAAAATAAAGTTGTCTACTTTTTTAAAATTCCTTCCTTGTCCCCCTATTATAATGATCTAACAATATGGGTGAAGGAGGTTGGGGTGGAGGCCAAGTGTCCTCTATCTCTTTATTACTCTGAAGTCGCTAAGCCACACGAACTTTTGAGTCATCCAATTAAATTTGACAGATCTAATCAAATTCCTCTTGTGACTCAACTCCATCCACTTTTTTGGCTCAGAAATATTATGGATGTCGAAGATGCTTTAACTTATGTTTCACTTTAAAGTAACATTACAGAAGTATTAACAGTATTACCAGCTTCCCAAATGTCCACTAAACATTCACATCCCTGCTCAAGAGCACGTGGAAGCAGCTGCTGAGGGAGAGGTTTCTTTTTTACTGACAGTCCTGGAATGCAGCCTGGCAGCATTTTTGTCACAGCAGCAGTTTTTCACTAGTCTGTTTCATCCTGTTTGTCGGGACAAATCAATCCTGGAGACAGTGAGCACATGCACTATATGAAACGTGAACAGACATCATGACATTCAGGTGAGAAAGGATACAAAAGTTTGAGTTGGAGGTCTGGTAGCAGTTGTTCTCCTAAATAACCAGCCATGTGGAACAGTGTTTTGGGTTTAATGAGAATGATGTGACAAAAGAGCAACAGAAACAACATGTAGGCTGTCAGCATGTTTGAGTAAACAGGAGTAAGAGCGGTGCAGCATAACAGGGCTGTACAACAAAGAGTCCAAATGAGTTTTGATTCCTGTTGACTCTTGTAATTGGCTGGAAATTGCTTTGTTTGATGGGTAACCTTTTTGTGTTAGTGTGTGTTATAGTACTGCCCCATTTAACAGGCAAAGGAACACACACACTTTGATAACAGCATTTATAAAAGGAGACATCCAAACACCTAGGTGCTCTGCAGGTCCTGATTAATACCACTGAGTCATTCTTCCTTTATAAAGCAAAGATAGATCGAAGATCAGTAAGATTCCTCCATTTGTTAAGCTGATTTCTAGCCCTGAGCACAAATCTTGTTTGTGCATCCGTAATCTGTGGTAATATACCTTGAATGTGCATGTGCTTGGTTTCTTGCTTTCCATTATATTTATATTTTTGTGCATTTAAATGTTTGCTTCCTTTAATGTGCATTTAATGTGTGCATTTGTGTGTTTTCTATCTGACAAGCACAACAAATCTATAGAGACCCACTTGCTGTCCCCAGGCACCATCCAAATGGCTGCTGCATTTTAGTAATTGCTTCTTTATTGACAAATGGCTGTGAAGTGTGGTGAGGGCATTACCTGTCAGTATTGCTTTTATTTCTTATTGAATTCTGTCCTTCTGTTGTTTCTGTTCTTCCAGTGACTCACAGAGCCAGGAGAAGCAGGTTAATATCTCCTCAGACACTGCTCAGCATGTATACATATGTGTGTTTCTATGTCCCTTTGAACATGTGTGGGTTCTTACATGTGTTTGAGTGTCTAGATGTCTGTCTGCCCTTAGTCTCTACACTTGTAGGTATATGTGTGTCTTAGAGCAACATCCTGAGGGAGAAACTGGTAAACACCCATCCATCATCTATGCCACTTATCCTAACTAAGGTCATGGGGGGACTGTAGCTGATCCCAGCTGACACTGGGTGAGAGGCGGGTCCACCCTGGACAGGTCACCAGTCTACCGGTAAACATGTGGTTCTGAAACTAAAAGGAAATAAACCGTCACACTTAAAGAGTGATGGATTTCATTTGCCTGAAGCCCAGCTGCCATGATTAGTAGGAATTTATGGCATATATTAATAAAGGGAAGCTGATGTTTTAAAGTGCGTTGTCTTGTTCCACTTCACCATTTGGAAGTTACTGTAACAGGACAGGAGGTCCTTCCCTTCTCTTCTAAGAACAGCTTTGTTAATATCATCATTAGCTACAAATTAAAATCACTATTCAGTAAGGCAGTATTTAACTCATTATTTTGGGTGTCCTTTCACTCATTGGATATACAACATAACACTCTGGAGACAAAAGTTTCATTTGGGTTGATGAACATACTATGAATTTGCAAACATGCTCAACTGTTATTGGCCTTTAATGAAAGATTGAAATGCAACGTGCTTTTGGTTCAACATAGACACAAAATTTGTACATACTGTAATGCACACAAAGTTTCACTAAGGAAAATTTTAACCCTGACAATCTAAAAACAATTTAAAATATCACCTAAGATTGTCTTTTTTTTTTCAAAATGCAACAAAAATGTTTCAGTTCTGCAGCCAGTGCTGATTTTGTTCATATATTACGTGTCAGCTCCAAGTCAAAACTACCAGCAGCTCATCTTCAGTCTTATAAATCTTGACACAAGATTTCATATCAAAATGTCATCTTGATAAAAGATACCATCCCCAGACTCCTTCTTATCCTCATCCTCCAGCTGAAGCTATGCTGAAATGTTGCTTTTGAGACATCTGAGATCCAACCACATATTTCTGTCACCCCTCATACCTTCACCCCCTTTACCCTCCTCTTCGGTCTCATGCACTCCTGGCTTAAAGTCGAAAAATAAAACCTTAAAAAAGAAGCATATCTTTTGTTCTGAGCTCTGCACAAAGGTGTGGCATAAAGCTGGATTTACAGGTGATGGAAGGGTTAACATCAGTCCCTTGTAGATAAGTACTTTTATTTATTGTTCACCATCGGTTTTCCATTAATAGCAACAGAATAACACCAGACAGACATGTTGCATGTGACAACAAGCAGACAAGTGGACCGATTACAGCACCTCCACATTGTACCTTCATAGCTGCCATTGGCCCAGTGTACAGTTACAGCTGTGAGGCCAACTGACAGTGATTTGCTCAATCAGTACATCTTCCTGTTCTTAAGGCTTTACAGTTTATACTATAATAAAATAATACCAAGGAATCTGTCATCTTGCCACACATGCTCACATAGTGTTCCTTTTCACCCCTTTCCCATACTCATTCACTCAGACACAGAGTGAATGCACAGGGTATATGCACCTGCTGTGGTGTCCATAACTTACTTTATGGGTTTATGTTGTTAGATGATTTTTGTGCTTCTCTCTGATTGATTCTAGGAAGTCTATTGTAGGAATGGCTGTTGTATTCACACTAGGTACTGTAGTCTTATATGCATCAATTGCCAAAACTTACATTATACAAATGTCATGCTTTATATTTGGATAAAAAAAAGACCCAAGCCCACTGTGATACTGGTCCAATGTCATGCTTTATATTTGGATAAAAAAGGACCCAAGCCCACTGTGATACTGTTCCCCTCTTGGCTCTATTTTCATGATTATACTGTATGTCCCTACTTGATGGTGGCCATAATGGTCTCCTATTGGCTCCTGTCATAGTATTGTGACTTGCATCTCTTACTGTTGATTTCTTATGTTGATGTTCCACCCATAAGCACCAGAATTTTGAGGACATGTTGATTCAGCACATGCAGATTCCCATTACAGTATACAAAGTGGAAAAAGTGTTGCATGTAAAAGAGCAGCAAATATGCCTGTGCAGGAAATAGCAAAATGCAAATAAGTGCAAAGTCAAGTGCCAACATTGGTGTTGACTTTCTCATTTGTAAAGGCTGTGAAGACCTGCCAGGCAAAAGTTATCCTCAAATTATTTAACATGATGTTTTGTGTTTCTAATTGTTATTCATGAGAGTGTAAATGAAAGAAAAGTCATCCAGCAGAAGCTAAAGGTTTTTAGATTGAATATAATTTAATTTAAACAGTTCCATTCCCTCTCGTGCTTCATTACATGCTGGCAGTTTACTGAGAGATTAGAAGAGTGATCACTAAAAAGCAGAGATGAAAATAGATGTAAACACAAGACAGAAAACAGTTTAGTGCCTTGTTGGAAATTTAAGACATGTATGTCATTGTCTAAAGTGAATTGTCCTGAGTTTGTCAGTAAATCCTAAATGTAATCAGAGTGAGCCTGCATGAAAATGCGAGGGGGGACCTTTCTACCAGAACCCATGATATGGTAATAAAGCTTCTTCCCTTCACCGTCTTGCAGTATCGTATACCGGCTTGTATTTTGACATGGTTAAATATATTTACTGCAGAGGTGAGGAGGCTGCAGAAGCATGGCAGTGATCAGGTCAGCGGTGTGATGCATGGAGGAGGTGAACCAGAGACACAGTCTGTGCCCCAAAGGTGACCCTGTGCCCTGTGGGCAGCCAATTAGTTGGTTTAGTCACTGTTTCACTTAACATGTACAGTATAAAAAATAACTGATTCTGGTGCGTCTGCATAATTTTTGTGACATCATGTTACTAGTTTTTGTCAAAACACATCAAGTTCCTCAGATTACATTCAGCTGATTACTGTGGTCAGCCAGAACACTGTCAGCTGTGTTTTCTAATTAGCTTTGCATTTCTACAGATTCTGGGATGTGCCGCTTTCAAACTAGAGAATTTTACTGAATAACTCCCATAGTGTATTGTTGCACTCTTACAGAGCTGTGTTACCTGCTAGTGACAGATTAAAAACAAACAAAGAAATTGCCCAAATGAAAGCTGCAGCATTTGAAATTTTAAATGTGCAGTGTGTAAGATTCTGAAGGATGTATTAGCTGAA